CGAACGAACAACTCAAAGAGCATCTCCCAGTTAGCTTTAATTGTTAGCTCAATTGGTACAGAGCTACTCTCGCGTCGCAGAGGACAAGGGCTCGAATCCATCATTTAGAACTGAATGCTGATATTGGAGGTGTAATATAGAACGGACTATGTACTGGATAAGACCACGTCTCATCAAAACATGGAGAACTCTTAGAGTTATACAGGGTGTTTCAAAAGTTCGTTCCGATTTTTTCTTCACTTAAATTTCACTGATTATTGAAGATAACTTTTGTAAACCTAAGCATGTTATTCATTATTCATTTAACATTGACTAACTTAAATATTAGCAACCAGAATGTCTTCCTTTATGATTTCTGACATTTTCTAAGCGGTGAGGTATAGAATGTACGTGTTCCAATAGCGTATAAAAATTCACAATTTTCCAGGTGAAGCGTGGTCGCTGTCTTAGCTAGTCCAGTGTTTTGGGGGCTGGATCTTTGTATGTTGTCTCATCAACGATAATCCAGATGGTTACTAGAGGGTTCGCATCACGTGAGTTTGCCGGCCGGTCGTCCTTTGGTATAAAGTTTGCAAATTCTTCTGATGCCATGTCTGCATAAAGTGCACCGCCTTTTTTCTCTTCAAGGCTTTCCAACCTTTGTTGGTCACACATCTCCATACCGTTGTGCTCGAAACTTTGATATTGTAAAGTTTAAGTTTAAGTTTGCAGTCTTGTTGAATAATTACGTATATACTTACTGCTTTTTCGATAACATTTTTCACACAGTTTGTAAAAAAAAACCGGTCATCTACTCCTGGGTTTGTCTGGTAAGGTCTTTACTTTTGACCACTTGTTCTCTCATCGTTCAGAATTCTTCAACAATTTGACAATTTCATTGACTAAATGGACAGAGTACCGTATAAATGGATGCCTGAGTTCTAGCACAAACAGTGTACGCCTTCATTTTCGTGAAAGAGTAGAGAAAACAAAAGAAAACGCCAAAAAAACGAAAATAGAAAACCTACAAAATGGACAGGAAAAATATGGCGGGATTAAAATTCGCGTACATGCACATTTGGAGAAAAAATTTTAAAAAAATCATAATTTCTTCAAATTTTAGTTTGAAATTGCTTTGAACGGTTATTTAGATAAATTTCCTACCTGAATCAGTTTACATTTACCTAAGGAAGCATTAAATGCTCTGCGCAAAATACTATTTACAATCGGAACGAACTTTTGAAACACCTTGTAATAGCAAAAATCGCGTTTATTACACCAGAAAGCATTCCAAGCAATGATTTTATAGCATCAAAAAATTATTTGAGGGACCATTCTGAAGTGATTTCAGATATGTAGAATTTATTTTTTATAGATGCATTAAAATAAATTTAGTTTATACTGCAGTAGCGGAGAGAATTTAACAGGATTAAAATCTCTGCGCTTCATTTCAATTCAGATACATAGATAAATAAAATAGGACGTGTGATTATAAGATACACCAAAATAAAGCAGAGCTTACTTGCAATTTACTTTCAGCATATTTACATTGTACTTACACCTTTATTTCCTTGTGAAACAGTCAGGAGAAGGCAATCACCTCAGTTCCATAAAACCTCTTATTGCACTTTCCCACCAATTCGTTGTGATAAATTCTTACCACATACATAAGAAAAAAAAATCAAAAGAAATAACTAATGTTTTTGGCTTCAGGTGTAGATTCAAGTGACGCTCTTTATATCTCCAATTATGGATATTTGAAAGCTCTTGTAAGTCAGCATGTGGTCACTGCTTTAACCGACAACATATATTTTTTTATTTTTTGTCTTTATTTGTTTATTAGTTCTGTAAAGACACTAGATCCGAAGCTTGATTTAAGATTTTGTTTGCTAATTTGAGAATGAAATTAAAGTTGAGCCTAAATCGATGAATTTGTTTCCCGAGAGCTTGGCTCAACAATCCACATTTTCTCTCAGAATCAGAATTATTACGGTAAATTTAAAACTCAAAATTCCGAAATCTTCTCTTAAAAGTCCTAATTTTCAATATCGCTCGACTCAGGCTGCGTCAATGTATTGACTGCAATTAATTATGATGTTAATTCCTTTTCAATTGGTTTCCTCTGTCGAAAAATCATTTTTGTTATTAGTAAATCTAGAATAAGATTGGAGGTTAAACTGCAAGAGCCAACTATGGTCTTTTCTTTGGGTTGTTTCCCGTCAAGCGGGAAATTAAATCAGCCATTATCCATTACTACCTTGAAGACCACCGTAGGGAAGTATAAGGATAAAAAAAAACACTTGGATTGGCATAATTTACATATACGTAGGTCAAAAAGGCAGTAATAAAAAAAATTATTCTCACTTTTATTTGTTTGTCACTGCACATGTACATGTACCAGAAAGAGTCGTACCTGTACATGTACTTTGGCTTGAAAGTCAGTCCTTAAATTATGGGTGCGGTAATTTTTAGCGTCTGTCAAATGACTTGAATAAACAAATGCCACCTACTTACGAAATCGACCGTCAAAATATTTTCAGACCCCAACACCATGCCACTTACGCTTTCACTGGAAACTTTAAGAATCAAATTTCCAAGCATCCCCCAATAATTGCAGTTGTAGGAAACTGGACAGTACGGAATTGCAGAGTTTGTAAGAGAACGATTGGCGCAACTGCAGTACAAATGATGACTTCAAATTTCTTTTCCAGCGTCTTTTTCCTGTAGAGGACTCTTTTTAATTTATTTAACGGAGAAAGGGGCTTTCCGACAAAAGCATGAGGCCAAACCTCAACCGACAAAGATGGAAATTTATTTCATAACAGCACTTTGCTGTAAAAACTTTAATTAACAGAAAGGAAATAATCTTTAGTTAATTTGACATTATTTGCGCCTATTTCCATTTCTATAGCTACGTGCAAGATCGCACGTTCCTATTACAACCTGTCCAATCGATAGGTTCATTTCGTTACCGTTAACCATCAGAAATCTTCACTCTCTACGGAGCCTCAAGTGAAGTCAACTGCAGGGATACAAGCAGAAGAGATCGAGTTAAGGTTCTTGTCTTTCTCAAAACATACTAATTTTATCCCTATTGATTTACAATAAGGGACTTTTTAATGTGTTAACGAACATAACCCATTGACCAGGAGCATTTAGGGTATTATTGCACCAAACCTTCCCCCATTTTCAAAATGGGAAGTCCAAGATGATGCGAAACTTTCCCCCCAAAAAATTAGCTATTTCTGTGCCCTACCTTTGGCTCTTGAATGACGCCTTAATACTGGAATCATTGAAAAAAAAAAGGGGCATGGAAACGGTTTTATTGAAACCTTTTTTTGTTATTTATTTTATTTTTTTATTACGTTAAAGCTTTTTTCCCTTACTTAAAGTGCCAAGTTCAGGGGAAATTGTACTTCGAAGTATTTTTAGAGTTGTCAGCAGGACTATTCATACGGCTTCAGAATTTGAATTTGAAAGCTGAGGGGACGAAATTGTAATAACTTTCTATTTGCATAAGAGTTTATTACTGACAGGATATGGATTTCACTATTTTGTCGCTGGGCTACACTGGAGAATACTATAACTTATGTCACGAAAATATCTTTATTTCCTCGTTTATTGCAACGCTATCATATTCTTTCCCAGTGCCTATAGTAAGTAAAAACATCAGGGAGACAAATATGCTGAAATCTCAATAAGAGGAACAATTTTTGGTGAGGAATCTGCGATGGACGTAGATGTGATCTTCCCACATATATTAACTTTGAGAGAAAACTAGACAAAATGTTGATGATATTATTATATACTAGGAGTAATCAGAGCTTAGGGGGGTGCGTTCTATATGATTTTTAGGTGTACAGGTAGCAGTTGAGGGGGAAGGGTGGATGGTTGATGGCATATTTTAAACGTTAGGATTGCTTAAAGCGAGACCTCTATTTAAACTGTGCACCATTATGAAAAAGTCTTGAAGGCTACTGATACGGTATGGTCCGTCTCAACAAGTGCAGTAATTTGGTAAAGTGTGTTGATTTCGGTGACTTGTGTGGAGCTACTGTGGGCTGTTTATATGTTTTTGCGAATAAATAACATAGACCTAAAATGTTCGTTTGTGCGGTGCCGAAAATATCACGTCATGATGAAATGGCGCCGCCGAGCTTCGCCCGTGGCACAACGGCCGCCGAGCTTCACAACTCGGTAAGTTTACTTTGTGACACGACGGTCGCCGAAACGTTTGAACGATGAACGCTTTGGAAGATTCAGCAAACACAGATCGATAGTAGACCCTCAGCAAACTCTTGAAATATGTACGCTTTACGAAGATTCAGCAAACGTTCAAAAGATGAACGCTTTACGAAGACAGAATAGCAGACCTCAGCAAACGTTTGAAAGATGAACGCCGAGGACACAAGAATCACTACGTGAGTTAGTGCGTCAAAGTGAGGCAAACACAAGCAAGGGCCTCAAAGCGAGGCAAATGTGTGTCGACACAAATGCAATCTCAAAAAACCTCGCTTTTTGATTGCACAGGACACCCAACAAATTTTCCTACCTTGAACGCCATACAGATTCAAATTTACCGCAAACGGCAGACGTCAGACTCAAGATGAGAATTTCTCAGAATAGAAAGTAAGCAGATAAAAACAGTCCTCAACGATTCCTGTGGTTAAAACTGGCATAGAACTACTTAATTTTGTGTAGAAGCAGTGAACGGAAAATAAGGGGGAAATTTGGCCACGTGGTACAAATTCACGTCTGCCGTTTGGCTTAAGCGTAAATCTTAATCTCTCTAATAACTGGGAGAATCACATCTCAATTCACCTCTATCGCAGGCGGTTTAATTGTTTTATTTTTGTTACTCTAAATCATAATTAAACAAAGCAAAATAAATACTCAAAACCGTCCCATTTCCCCACCAGTCAAGCATCGCGGAGATGTAAGGGTGGGTATCTATATGCAAGAGGTTTCTGAGTGTTGTTGACAATCACCATTCTTTGATATTACAGGTGATTGCATCGTAAATGGGCAACTCGCTAAAGCCACAAAACAAAACTCAGGATGTCTTACTGTCTGAGAAGGCAAACATCGCATGGAGCACAATATTTGCTTTAGTCGCCGTCATCATTTTGGCGGGAAATTCCCTTACAGTTGCAGCGTTCACTACCAGGCGTTTGGTGCGCAGGCGCACACATTTCTTTCTGATCAGTCTGGCTGTGGCTGACTTGATGGTTGGGGCCCTGGTGATACCACTTTACATCTACTTAAGTATACAGACGGATTTGCCGAAAGGCGCTGTGCATCACGTCTTCGAAGCAGCGGATATTCTTGCAGGGCTTGCTTCAGTCTTTACCCTTGCAATGATATCAGCGGAAAGGCTTGTCGCTGTTGGCTGGCCGCTTGTTCACCGAATGTTTCGTAAGCGTAGCTACTTTAATTTCATAGGCCTTGCTTGGTTATTTGCCTTAGCTATATCAGTAATAAATCTGCTGTATCGTTACAAAATAGTGCCTTACTTTGCTACTTTGGATATTGTGCTGACTGCTTTGTTGACCTCTATTGTTTTCACTTGCACTGCGTACATCGCTTTATGGATCAAAGTTCGTTTTCGGGATTACGGCGGATTTCTTGGTAGGGAACATGACAAAAAGCTTGTAAAAACGTTGTTTCTTGTCACTGGAGTTTTCGTTTTAACATGGACGCCTTTTCAGGCGCTGCTGTTTGTTGTCCATTTCTGCCGAACTTGTCCGATCCCCCCGCAGAATGTAGTAAACTTTGTTAAGCTACTACATTTCTGTAACTCTTTTATGAACCCAATAATTTACTCCTTAAGAATACCTGAGTTTCTCATTGCAATTTCTGACATCTTTAACTGTCGATACAACCCACATAATAGTGAAATTACCCTAAGAACACTACGCGGAGAAACCTTGGATACAATGACAGGAATTCTAAGTTCCTATTCGTCACTGAATGTGCGTTTCTGCATGGGCACAGAGAATATGGTCACATCTGAATTAAATTCGTCGACGTTCAGGCAAAAATTCTTCAAGAGGACAAGCTCCAGGATGAACTCTAGTCGCAGGACGCACGTGACTACGTCTCCAGTTTGACTGCAATTGCAACAATTGGTGCCAGGTCAGCCATGAGTTGGCTATTTAGAAGTTGAGTGAGAATGAACACAGGTCGGGCGGGTATCGTTTTACACTATGGGATTTTTATGGGAACGCAATTACCGATTACTAGACAATTATTGGATTATGTTTTTGCGCTATCCCGAATGATCAAGCAGCTGATTGACTATTCATTCCGGATATCACAAAGACCGAATCTAACATTGACACGCAGATATATATTTTTTAGCAACTAATATAATTTGCAGTCTGTCTACTTTGAATGGCTTTATAACACATTACGTTGAGGAAACATGCACTGAGCACAGTTGACCTTGCCATTGGAAATCATGCATTGCTTCGGCAACTTACAGATAAGTCAGTCGCATGCTTGTAGAAGAGAAGATGGTGAGCACAATAATCTCATTAATTAGTCCAAGAGGTAGCACAGGCAACTAAGCAAACAATCCCATAATGCAACTCGACCCAACACCGTCTTGGTCTCAATCCCAACGTTAAAATGTTTATTACTGGTCCAATATCACAGTGTTGTATGAATTCACAGGTTTTGACTGGAATTACAGCGGTTACCACTAACACGAGCCCTCGGAGGGTTTTTTTCTCTCTATTGAAACCTGAGTTTTCGTGGACGTAAATCAACTGTTTCCATGGTTTTCTCACTCGCTCTGACAGAGAAGGTTCCCTCATCGCTGAATAAAGCGGGAAGACTTACAAGAATAATTTCGCACGACGACGTCGTTTTTAATTATTTCATTAAGATGAAGGATTATATTGTTAAAACAGCGAGGTCTCTACGAGCTCAGCCGAAACACTCTCTACAGTTTACGTAAAGGTTTTTAGGTTGTTTACTTATTTGATTGCATGAAAACACGAGAGCCGTGGACGAATTGCCAAGGAGTATAAATTCAAAGAAGCGAAAGATACCACACCGACAAGGGACAAAGTTTCCTCTAAATGCCGGACGTTGTTTTGAAAAATAATTTTGTAACCTTCAAATCTACTTATCATTCTTCATGTTATCGAATAGAATCAAGAACTAGCAAGAACTCGGACGAATTGCGAGCGTGCATTGAGAAAGCTTATGTGTTCGTAACTTACAGTGTGTAAATAAGTGGGTAATTTGAGTTTCCTCCGACAAACACTCAACAAATTTGTACTCCTCGTAATCTTGACATGAAGTGGTGCCAGATCCGGTAGCAAAATATTGCAAAAACGGCTCAAACGCAGACATGTTCTTCCGAGTGCTCGAGAAACAGGGAAAGAATCTGCTCTGGGCCAACGAGTAAAAAACAATTGTAGCAGTTGATTGGCGTCCACCAAAACGCAGGTTTGAACCCGAAGAAAAAACCTTAAAGTTTGAGGACGCGTGTTAGTAGTAGCCACTGTAAAGTGGCAGGAAGAATATACTGAGAAAATTTGCGTCGTCACAAAACGCTTAGTGGGAAGAAGACAAAAGTAAGGCAAGGGGCACACATACACCAACCCACGGCCTGGGCAGAACCTCACACATGCACACCGCCATATCACCCGGGCAGTGGCAGCAATGGACAGCTGGTTTGCCCTTATTGGGGCTTACCAGCATGGCATAGTCATGGGACCTCAGAGATCTTTTACTACCGCCAGCTCCACACAACACATATGGGAGCTGTTGGTTGGGAACCGCACTGCAGTTCTCCTACGGCATGCGCGGGGAAGGCGGATCATGAGTTACCCTGATCTGTGTGTCAGCAAATTCAATAAGAAAAAATTAAAGCAAGGGGCACACATACAGCTGTCCATGGCTGCCACTGCCCGAGTGATATGGCTGTGCGCATACGTGAGGTACTGTCCAGGCCGTGGGTTGGTGTATGTGTGCTCCTTGATTTTAAGTTTGTCTTAGTGGGAAGAAGTATCGAGTGAGAACTCAGTTATTCTTTCATTGTCACTATTTAATTCTTATGTATTTTTTACCTATATCTACACTGCGCGTTTAGACACGTGACCTCAGTTGTTGAAAAGGTGGCTAGCACTATCCACCGGATAAATCTTTATCCACTGGATACAAAAGAGAATAAATTCCCACAAGCCACGGCCATTTTGCTCTTCAGAAGCTACTCTGGCCAGATTTTTCCACATAGAAATCTTTTGACTTGTCGACGAAAGTAACGCCAAGTTTGCACGTCATATCGCTTGCTGTGCGTGATCGGCAGTGAAATGATTTACCCCGCCAAGTTTAAAATTACATGACACCACTCTAACCGACCAATAAGGTGGCGTCCTTAAAATAACCTCGCAGTATGACACAGAACCAAGAATAGATTGAAAATACTTTTCATGGGGAGAGGGTCGCGTATGGGGGGATTCGCTCTCTTAAATCATTCTCTCTTACTGGATATCGCAATCGGTTTCCCCGAATACATATCTACTGGGTAGTGATTTATCCGCTGGATAGCGCTATTCAGCTTTTGAACAACTGGAGCCAGGTGTTACGTCTTCATAACGCAGCTTAGCAGCGTTGCAAACGATTTGGCAAAACTTCATTTTCAAAGGGGGCCTTAAATTGCCTCCTTATTTCTTTATCCGTTTTATTTGACAGTTTCGGTTTTATGTATCTTTGTCGTTGTTCTTTATTTTTGTTTTTCTTAGAGGGAAACCATTATTAATACCATAATAAGATATAAGGATGTTTTCAGTCGATTACTCACAAAAAGCGAGTATCATTAACTTTCTGGAGACATTTGAGCCAAATATTGAGGATAGCTTAAGATTAAACGCTTGACAGGTCAGTCTTTGACGAGCTCAGTAAAAATGGTTCATTTCCACACATGAAATTAAAAGTGGATTGGAAGCTGCTTGCCAAGTTTCAAAGGATGAGGAAAAATCAACATAAAGTAAATCTGTGCGGGTTTATTCAAGCCTTACTACACATGAGGTAGTAGGAGGAATAAATGAAGAGCTATCTGCTACTGATCAGGATGGGTGGAGGACGGAGGAAGGATGGCATGTACTCCAACTTCCACCGCTTTTACGTCCGAATGGAAAAGATACTACTTTAATATATATATCCAAATAATCGTATGATCACAAAACAGGTGATTCAAGACGATTAAAGTGGTTTCAAAATTCTATGTTTATTACCATAAAATTGGAGGAGGTTTTATGATCTTTTCTTTATGGTATCGTATTTCATGATTGGAACAAACGGAAAATAGGATTCAAACCAAGAATAACCTTAAATAACCCACAACAATATCACTGCCTTCTTTTATTTGACCTTCTGCCTTCTAAACTCCCGCAAACCAAAGTGTCCAAAATTGATGTCTTTTTTATCAAATATTTGCGATCGGAAAAATGTAATGCTATTGATAGTTATAAAGAACTCAACAAAAGGTTAAAAAAAAGCATAACAGCTGGTCAGTGTGAGTACTTGTATTGCCGGTATTCTTTTTTTTTTTTTTTTGCTTACGTGTAAGAATACAATAGTAATTCGGTTAGCAGGACCTGTATGTAAGAAACAAAGAATACTTAACCGAGTTACATCACAGACAGCAGTTACGATAGCAAACATTGATATAAAAATCATGTCTATTTTTTGTTTATCATTTGTCTCGTCGTGTACAAATATTTCTCCCTACAATTGGTTTAAAGTTTCACATGGCTATCTCTTAAGACCTATGCAGTCAAAATCCAACAGCATGGTCAAGTTGCTTGGTGAACCGTCCTGTGAAAAAAAAAAAAAAAAACCTTTCAAAAATTGTCTAGATCTCAGGTCCTGCTACCAGTAGGTATACATGAATGAGGGGTCATCTCATTGTTTTGCAGGTGACAGCCCTTTCATTTGGCCCTTTATTACTTTTTGTGTTATTTGTGCACGAAGCCAAGGCAATCAAACTTATGATGACAAAACTAACAGACTGTGATTACACATAAAACCAAAAAGTCACTTTTATCCCTGTCTTATATACATAAGCTGATGTAAAAACAAACACAACTTCGTGCACGGCATTAAATTGTGCATATTTCTCTTAGTACCTGAAAATAAATATGTTTGGTTCGTAGTTTGTTTCCAATAACAAGGTTGGTCCTGTCTTTTTGTCTCCCATTATTTGAACACTACTGTCCTCCAATGCTATAACTGGGAAAACTTTGCATATTCGGCAAAGGTACTCCCTAATGCGACTGCCAAGAAAGGGGGAAGCTAGATTGGTGAGAGGATCAGAGAGGGAATAGTGGTTGGTAGGAACCGTCAACTCATCTGGATTCTCTAACAAAGAAAAAGAAATTAACAAATCATTTTTTTTTGTCATTCTCGTAAAAAATTCCAGTTACATAACAGCCATCTCTCACGGTTCTTACCCATTTTGTAATGAGGGTTTGAAAACTAGGATTATATACCGTAATTAACTCTGTTGATTAATGAATGTTACCAAAGCAAATGGAGTCGGTGGCATAGGCGACTTCGAAAAAGAATCCGAGTACTTTCAATGGGACGTCCTTTTGGTTACTAGTTTAGAGTGTCTGTAGTGCCTGCATTTGAAGATTATCCGTTATTTGCAATATATGCAATATATGCAGTAATACGCATGCAGACAAACAACAGACGTCTAACAGCACACATTTGGTTTATCGGACCCTTTATCAACATTCAGAGTATACTCCCCCGGAGAATTTCTAGGGACCAAAATACTGAAACCCAGCTGGTATGCCGACTATGTTTACTGTGGGCAAATAAATCAGCTTGCTTGATTGGCATGATTAGTATGAAATAAAGGTAACTAAACAAACAGATATTTCCACCACGTTTGCGTGTGTTTGCTTATTTATTTATTTTGGTATTATCCCGGTGTATGGGAGAGGATGTCTTCTTTTCTTTGCCTTTATAAACACTTATTAACCAGAAGATCACAAAAAAAGAAAAGAAAAGGCATTGAAGCAAAATAGTAATGGTAAGAGATTCAACGAGGTCCACTGAACTGTTCATGATCAATCTAGGTTTCCCGGGACTCGACAATATTTCAAGTTACTTATTATAACTACATCGGTACTGCTTTGGGCTAAAAGAAAAGACAAAACAAAAAGTTGTTCGTGTTGCATATGTATATCGTATCTACATGAGCTTAGCCAGAATCATAAAATAAAGTAGTTCTTATAGATAATGTTATTTTAACCATCGATGAAAGCTTAAGAAGGTCACCAGTACAAATCAGGTAACAAACCTATGCCTTCGATATACATCGTCAGCTACAGCTTTGGACGAGTCAGTCGATTTACATTTTACAGTTGTATAATAGTGTAATATTTTCCTCTTTCTTTTTAACAGAATTACAAAAATCGTGGTTAAATGTTTGTGTTAAAGAGAACTGTTTGACGATTGACGAAATGGATTTCAACAAATGGAACGTGTTTTGGAGTATATGCTTTGGCGTGATGGCATTCATGGTAATAGCTGGAAACGCTATTTCTATTGTTATTCTTTCCACGAGAAGACTACGAAAGCGTCCTCACTTTTTGCTGATAAGTTTAGCTGTTGCAGATTTCTTGGTCGGATTATTAGCCATACCAGTATACATGATTGTCGTAATCTCCGGAGCAAACCTCGCCTCCAAACTAGCTTTTGACTGCGTGGATATGTTTACAGGATTTGCATCTACTTTCACCCTGGCCATCATTTCTCTTGAGAGACTCAATGCCATTGCTCGACCTCTCCATCATCGCCAGCTCACTTTATGGAGTTATTCCGCTGCTATATCGTTGCCATGGGTCCTGTCATCCTTCATAACATCGTTTAGGGTGCTTCTCGACTTCGTTTTCATTACTGTTCACCAGTTCTTGACGATTATAATCATCAGCTTATCTACTCCATTGCTTATCTCGTGTATTAGTTATAGCTACATATGGAAGAAGCAACGCACCCGAATACGTAACAGTTTCAGACAGAGACACGAGACCAGATTCTCCAAGACTGTGTTTTTGATAACTGGAACATTTCTGGTGACTTGGATGCCATTTCAAATTTTAGTCATCGTATTCATTTTATGTTTTCCATGCAGGGCCATCCCCATTTCAGTTGTATTCGTTATAAAACTCCTTCAATTCGGCAACTCGATTGTTAATTTTCTTATCTATTGCTTTAGGATGCCGAGTTATCGAAAATCGTTGTTTGCTATTTTGTCTCATGGTAGGGATTCTCGAAAAGGAAGCCGGGCAGTGTCTCCATTTAATGAGAATCAAACGACAAACATCACTCTTATTTCGTTTTCTAGCTTACAATAGTTGACCATACGGGATGAGCGTGAAAAATGACTGATGACATGCTGCTCCATTCTGCTTTCCTCTTGGCACAAAAAAGAAAAAAAAACATTAAAGGACAATAAAATCTTGAATCATTCACTTTTGAAAGCGCTGAGCACTCAGGAGTGGAAGTAAATTGCGAGGGGAAATACAGAGTTTCGAAACTTTTTTGCCATTCGCAATGATTGTACTTAATAGTTGAGGCGTACAATTTAAGGGGAAAAGTATCCTGCTGTTGATTAGCAACTATGCAATTGCTGATTTCGTAAAGAAAAATTCAGTAGACTGAACATATTTTGGCATTGTACTAAGAGAGGATCCTATGCAGGAGTGGTATTAAAGTAATAAAATTTATTTTATAATAAGGTGCTTCAGCTGTTTTGGGATTTTTTTCATGGTCTTTGGGTGTGGATTTACATATTTTTCAGTTTTTTTGTTATTTAATTTCGAAACAAAGTTTGGAGAATTTCAAAGTTTCTCTCAGAATCCCACAGTAATGTTTACGAAATAGGTACACATCATTGTTGTAAAAATTATTTGACCGGAAGCATGTAATAAGAATTGTTTTGAAACGATGGAGTAGAAATTAACATTAAAGTTCGAATGAAAATAATTGAAAAGGAAGGATCCTACAAAAAAATATTTTACACATTAAATATCTCAAGCAGTTTAAACAAAAACAAAAAAGCAAAGTAAAGTAAACTAACCCCCCCCCCCCCCAAATTCCAATTTTTGGCGATTCCACTGTAAATATATTGCTTCATGTAACAAAAGGTCCTCTAGATTGCCATACCACATCCCATAGCCTTCCTAGTGAAAATTTATCGCCAATTCCCAAAAGGCCGCACGCTATGTCACCTAAAGATGTAAATGTATTTTACCCGACTGTTTTGCAAGTTCGCTCATCAAAAAAGGCCTTTACTTTATAGGGTGATAGCTGTATCGAGCAAAATATAAAGTGGCACGTAGAAAAAGATGAGTGACCAAGGTAACTGCAGTATCTAGTACATATGCATTGCTAGATCAGCCGAGTTTGAAACACTCTTACGTTTTTCAAACCCTTAGTAAATCTTCAGATTGTTCATAACAATCTGAATGCTAATAATGAGCATAAAAATGAAAACATTTGAATTTCACTTCGCCTACCGTCTTTAATAATTTCAACGTTTTCGGTATCAAAATGGAAAGGAAAAAGCCTGGGTAGGAAAATCAAAAGCACATTGACTACAATGTGTCTGTGCGTCGGTGTGGGCTGAAAGCAGTGTGGCCTCTTACAGCGAACTATTGTATCTTTCATCATTATTCACGATTGCTATCTGTTTAATTAATCATGCCCTACTGGCAAATCAACCCACCGTGGCTGGTCTACAATATATTTCACTGGATTAGAAAGAATTTGGAAAACAGAAATAGAGAATATTACACGGTGGCGAGAAGATATGAATTTTATGTTCGAGTGGCAAGAACAATATCTCACGAGTGAGCGCAGCGAACGAGTGAGATATTGCTCTTGCCACGAGAACATAAAATTCATATCTTCGAGCTAACGTGTAATATTCTTTTTATTATATAAACATACTGATGACGGCGTTTTTGATGATTTTCCGAAGATTTCCGACCACCTTCCGAAGATTTCCGAAGATTTTTCAAATTGTCCCGAAGACCAGACGAACGTTCCCGAACATTTTCCGAGAATTTCCGAAAATTTCCGAAGATGTCCGAAGATTGCCGAGCACTTTCGAGGAAGACCCGAAGATGTTTCGATGATACACCAACGAATTTAAGTACAATTTAAGAGACAAACCTGATGTCAGTGAAATTATCGATATCTTCACATGTAAAAATATCGTATTTTTACGTGTGTTCAGATACCACATTTCTCGGTGGTAGAAATCCTTGTAAAACACTGCAGTTTATACAATAAAGAAATTTATTCCATGTAATGGTTGATAGTTGATAGCTACAGAGCTGCCAATGAAGCCAAGGGGTAATGCCATGTTCCTTCCTCGCTAATCGTCAGTGAAACAGTTTTAATTACGCGCGTTGTCATTTGCAAGCGCCTTTTAGACACGATCAGCACAAAACGTTATAGGCAAAAATGGTAAGGTATGCATTGTCCTTAAGTAGAAAAAGTAGATCTATAGTCAGGTTTTCCTATATAAGCCTGCTTTAAATCAATTGCTCCCGGGTCATTGTAATTGTATAAATGAAATGGATTTTTAACTAGTCATGTGGAATATGTATCAGTGAACTTGATTAGGCATTTGGCCCTCACTTTCTGTGCATTTTTAAAATTCATCATGTGAGGTTACGAGTCGCAAATTGAAAAAATATATAGATATATTTTTTTTTCTTAAAGTACATGTACTACTGGTTAAAAAATTGTAGGGCATTATCGGGTTTACTACATTTTTATGTACCAAAAAACGTTGTTTAGAGTGGTGAAAACATACTAAAGAAATCAATTTGAAATATCTCCCTTTTATCCCATCAAACATTTTTTTTCAGCTGTCACTTAATCTCAAAAAATAGGATTCAGGACCATTAAGAACTAAGTAGCTTTAACTTGTCGATTGCCTTTGAAATTAAAAGCGAAAGTGTCCTTCTTGTAAGTTAATCAGCATTAAGTTATTCACTGAAGTGTCCAATGAAAAGGGTCCGCGAAATTGTAGGTTTTCGAAATAGCTCTTTAAGTGGATTTTTTTCATCACGCTTATTCCAATAGTCTTCCAATGCTGCTAGAATTAAGTGCCCCGCAAAAGAGATAACAAACGATCGGGCGAAGCCTGGTATGTCGCCTGACGTGAATGGAATATTACTCCACTTTTACAAAAGTTGGACAGGTATAACTCATAATACAGTGCATCTAATCGCTCCAATCTTCTTATCATTCACCAACCTAAATGTTAAAGTCAACGTAGTATGATTATTACCACTGATTCTCTTTTTTGAGTTATATAATATATATATATAGATAGTTATATAATATTAATAATCACAGGAGTTCAGGCTTCAGGAGTAATCATTGATCGTTTATTGCGACAGTGCTGTTTCGTATGGTCCGAAATTGTAGGACCACACTCATCAGGCAACTTCAACGATTGACCGTTAAAATTAAAAGCTGGCAGTAAATATAGGGATGCGTTAAGAGATAGTATCTAGGTAACAGATGGATTGTGTCTTAGTTACGTTACTCTAGAGTTCTGAAGTACATATCTGTTTCTGTGGGGGCATGAACTCGCTAGTTCGTTTCGCCTGTTTAGGCTACAAAGCTCTTTTTTACGAATGATGATAAACTTTTCATAAAGACAAAGATTACATTTTTTGCTAATGTTGCTATAGGCTTTACATTTCTTTAAAACTTTCCATAGTCAATGCTCTTCAATTAAATGAATTGAGCGCTCTACGGAATACGTTCTACCCAGAATACAAGTAGTTATATAATATATATATATATATATATATATATATATATATATATATATATATATATATATATATATATATATATATATATATATATATATATATATATATATAAATACTTGTATTCTGGGTAGAACGTATTCCGTAGAGCGCTCAATTCATTTAATTGAAGAGCATTGATTATTAATAATCACAGGAGTTCAAGCTTCAGGAGTAATCATTGATCGTTTATTGCGACAGTGCTGTTTCGTATGGTCCGAAATTGTAGGACCACACTCATCAGGCAACTTCAACGATTGACCGTTAAAATTAAAAGCTGGCAGTAAATATAGGGATGCGTTAAGAGATAGTATCTAGGTAACAGATGGATTGTGTCTTAGTTACGTTACTCTAGAGTTCTGAAGTACATATCTGTTTCTGTGGGGGCATGAACTTGCTAGTTCGTTTCGCCTGTTTAGGCTACAAAGCTCTTTTTTACAAATGATGATAAACTTTTCATAAAGACAAAGATTACATTTTTTGCTAATGTTGCTATAAGCTTTACATTTCTTTAAAACTTTCCATTTTATCTGGAAAGGTTTGTTAGAGTCTTGTAAAGTCCAAATATATTTTGATAGTTCCGTTTCATTTCTTCTGTTTGAGCGTCGAAAGGAGGACTGATGGTTTCTGTAACGTTCCTTAAAGTTTGTTGCCAGTCCGACGTAAGTTTCAGTTGTCGTCGCTGTAGTTACAGTGGCTTGGTAGATTACATTTGATTGGAGGCATTTTCCTTCGAGTGGACAATCTGGTTTCTTTCTGCAATTGCAGGTGTCAGGTTGTTGCGTTGGTGAGTTGAAATTTGAAAGAACGTACTTGTTGTGTGACGAGATGACAGATTTCATGTTAGGCATGCATGAGTAGCTTAGTTTTAGCGTGTGTCTGTTGAAAATCTTGTGGAGTGGGTGGTTTTTTGGAAAGCATTTGTCGACGATGTGCAGAAATTTTCTTCCAAGGTTAGTTCTGACGTTTGAGTTGAAAGGAGGGTTGTACCATGTGATGTTTCTTGTTCGTTTTCTTTTGTTTTTCGGAGCTTTCTCTTGTGGGGGGTTGTATGCTAAGTTGTGGTCGTATCCGCTTTCTGTTAGAGCTTTCTGGTAAGGGGCAACAGATTCGTCAAATACTTCTTTGCTGGATGAGATGCTAGTTAACCTTTTGTTAATGTTGAGTGGGATATTCTTTAGTAGTGCAGGGGGGTGGTTGCTCTGTTGGTGGACATAGGACAGTTTATTATTAGGCTTCATGAAAGGCTTGTAGCACCCGTTTGTGAGGTTGAAGGTCACATCAAGAAAGTTGACGACCTTTTTGTTAGCTTCGATTGTGATTTTAAGGCCATTGGAACTATCAAAATATATTTGGACTTTACAAGACTCTAACAAACCTTTCCAGATAAAATGGAAAGTTTTAAAGAAATGTAAAGCTTATAGCAACATTAGCAAAAAATGTAATCTTTGTCTTTATGAAAAGTTTATCATCATTTGTAAAAAAGAGCTTTGTACCCTAAACAGGCGAAACGAACT